TTAGCTGATCCTATTGCAGAAGGAATTCCGATGAGAAATCAGAGAAATAACCAAATTTCAAAAATGAAAACTATGTGAGTGACTATATAGTAGGTACGTAATGAATCATAATGTACCATCCGGATTTCTTCATCTTCCGCTGCAGTTTTTGTGCATTTTACAACAGCACAATGTGATGGCATTAGCGAATTGATGAATAGCGGAAAAATACAATTCATGCCAAAATAATTGTGGAAAACTATTTCGATCACTCGTAAACAAATATGTTTTGCCTCCAGGGTCGGTCATCTGACAGTTCTTGCACGCGACCTATTCTTGAAAACCCCCAATTCTTTCATGATGAAAAATAGTGACAGTGAATCATCAAACACACCTCCTGATATAGCAGAAAGCGCAAGAGTTTGAATCTCTTGCCGGATAAATCAAGGAAGAAATATGAATTACAATATGATACATTCATAAATTGGTGCCACTCCGAGATGGTGAATATGTATTCAGAAAACGTTTTACTGGCTTATTTTGGTAAAAAATCAAAGACTTTGAAGTCATCAACTCATTGGTCTATATATTCGATGGTACGTATACATGCTTGAATGTTAAAAATAACATCGGAATCAATGAGTATCTGAAACTTATCGCATTTCTCAAGAAACAATCTATTGGTTATAAAGCGAGAAGAATCCAAAACATTCACCCCCTGAAGATATATACCAACAAATTTCTATAAGAAGCTCCCGATGAAGAATATCTGTTGAAAACGATGAATTATACTTTATATTTAAACTCTTTGTTGTCATCAGAAAGACAGTGTAACTTTATTTTATTGCATCAATGAGTAATGTTCAATTTGATTGCAGAGTTTATCGTACTATGGCTCAGAGGTCTGAAGCTCAGGTTTCCACGCTGGTGGTCCAGTTTCAATTCTCGGTAGGCCCGATATTTTTTTTCTGCCTTGTCAGTTCTTTAAATTTTTCTTTTTTGTTTCCTTTGGACATATGGGATGATATGGATAAGAACTTTTTCAACTATTTCAATTGCTCATACTTTCAGGGCAGTTATTTCCAAAAGCTGCGTTAGAAAAAATCAAAGATTACCGCGCTCCGCTCCGCATCGTGCGGTAACTTTCTTTGTCGAGCGGCAATCTATCACTTTGCGCTCTAAATACACTAATAGCTATTGTATTGTGAGGTTGGCTACAAAGGTGTCAAAATTATGAATAACATTGACTATTGCACTCATCACATAACCTGACCAATCACTAGCCAGAGACAACGGGTGCTTAACGCAAAAACATTAGCTGTCTTTCAATTCTTATTGGTTTATCAGCGTTGATGTTTTAAACGATGTAACCATGGATAGCGAAGCAAACTCTCAGTTTGGCATGAAATAATTATGGCCCTATTTGTCAGAATGAATCAATCATTTATAATAATTGCTTTTCATACATCGTGAACGTGAAAAAGTCTAGTAAAATACCACTCTGTTCTGAATATCTTCTCATAATTCTGTCTTTCATTGTTAATCGAATATTCAGAACATCGTGATATTACTTATGACTATTTCACGCAGATATCAATCAGAGCCAATTAGAAGGTCAAGTGAAGTTTGGCTTATCGATAACACCGAACTTGACTCTTCACTCTGATTGGCCTGTCAAGTTCGGTGTTTTCAATGTGTATGTGACAGGTAAACGTGAAATATAAGTAGAAACGCTGTGCACGCATTGAGCAGATTACATCCAACTCAGTGAACTGCAACACGAGAAACGTATTGCAAATTTGAGGAATAATATAGAAATCAAGATATAATTACCTTAGTATTACGAGTACAAACAGGTGTTTGAATGTATTAGAAGTGAAAAAAAAATTGAAAAAGCTTTTATTCAAACGCTCTAATAATAACAAAATGAAATTTCATTTCAGGGTATGTTTGGGTGCTGAACCCCATATGTGGGAAAAGTTTTCTAGAATAGGCCGTATCTGTGCGTTGTAGATCATGAGAAGCTGTTGAGGTTGGATTTTGTGAGAATGGTGGTACCAGACATGGCTATATCATGAATGCTGAAATCTGCCTTTCTATAGAAAAAATACAGGCTTGTTAACAGTCATTTATCTTGTTATTAGTAGATACAAGTAAGGTAGGTTCTTGTTAACAGTAATTTATCTCGTTTTTAGTAGATAATAAAGGTTACCACATGTTCAAATATAATAAATAATATACCGGGTGTCCAAGTTATCGTATAGAGGCAATATCTCGTTCATTTGACAAGATGAATGGTCTCATGACATATGAAAAAAATCTTTTACACTTGACAGTTCTCTGGCGAATGGCTCCCCCCGTATATTGTCATTGAAAATTGCGTGCCATCCTATAAGGAATACAACGATAGCATATACTTGTTATTTTTTTATTATTATAACAAAATCAGCAATATTCACTAGAGTATGAGTTTCAACTAAAATAGCTTTTATGCGAATCAAAAAATGAACTAAAAAAAATTCTTGGAACAAAAAACATGACTTGAAACAAGGCACAAAATGTTGATATTTTTATTTTTAACAATGAGAGAATACCAAGTATACGCTATCGTTGTATACCAGATATGACAATATAGAGGCGATGCCATCTGAAAATAAAATGTTGGGGGTAGCTGCCGAAGAACTGTCAAATACAATGGATTTTCTTATATGTCATTAGGATGGTACTTCAATATGCCATTCAATGAAGTTTCTGCATTTTCCAACTATCTTGTCAAATAAGCGAGATATTGCCTGAATACGATAACTTGAGACATCGGGTATATATTTGCTGTGACGATTAGGTAAGTGTTTTCATTTAAAACCTCATCCATTTAATGTTGAACATCCTAGGAGAAAAGTATCTGAATCTCGAGGATGTGCCCTGGATATCTGTTGTATATGTATATCATGTCATCAATCACCGTCATAAAACCAAAACATCCTAAAATCGTTTTGAGGATACTTTGTATATTGAGTTCTCTGACATTTCGGGCCACCCAACAAACATTCCGAAGAAAGGGATGTTTACAGGACATCTCAAATGCTGACACGGGTGTTCCTGAGAAAATAGGGATTTCCATATTGTTCCATATTAATGTTTCTACAACGTCTTACGGATGTTACTGTGTTATTAGGAACATGTTCAACAGTACCTTATTGTCTATGTTGCCCATATGAAAACGTCAACTGAAACACACTATAACAACCTATAAGCAGCCACACAATTACTGGATATTTGCCCTAATAGAGCATCCCCTGCTGGAATCGCAATTGACGAAGCCTACAGAGGCCCCTTTAATTACATCTTCTGTTTCTCTATCTTGGATGCACTGTCGGTATAGGACACATCGCTACAGCGGTCGGCAAACTCCAGGACTAACAAGGAGGTCCATTTGATTGGATGGGTTTCTCCTGACTCCGGTACACCGATCCAGAAAATTAACTTGCACAGGATGTTGATACAACAGCACCTGTGATATCGGTTTCCCTGTTTCTCCCACTTTATTGCAAAGCAGACATCGAACCGGATTGTATCCGAAATTACATGTTGGTTCACTTCACAGGGTGGGTCAATTCGAGGCAATCATGAAGCAATAAATTGTGCTTAATGAACGTTGAATAAAGTAGAGTTGGTCAACACACATTATTTCTCATAAGGATTCGATACAAATTGGTCGTTTTGAATTCCTTATATTTTAGGAAACCTAAATATTCTGAGGACATATTGTTGGGATCAAAATAAGACTCTTTCTTCTTATCAACATGTGTCATAGAATGCACTCCTCCGAGCTACAACCACTGTTTTTTTTTATGTTCTGGTTCCCACGATGAGGGATATCCCGTAATGTTCAGAGAACTTCATGAGAACCAAGGGATATAAGGTAGGAATTGGTGTTTTTCTTAAATTTCTGGAGGTTATATGCCTCGGGGAACACCTTCCTTGGAAATCTGTTCCAGAGCCTCGCTGTTCGTTGGATGAATGAATCTTTGGGGTGCGAAGCCTCAACTCGACGGGTTAATCTCACGGGGACTACCAAGAGAGGAACAATTGTTGATATTTCAGGAGAGCATCGTCCATGGAAATATCTATAAAATGAATTTGTGAAGTAACCACCAATGCCGTGCCATATGTATGCAATGCAAAAAATATTGACAAATAATCCGTGTGGTGAGAATATTTTACCTGCATTAACTTAACAGCAGGTTCATTCAATTTTCGAGAATGTCCGAATTGTAGTTTGAATATAAATATAACCACAGAGTGACATATTCAAGTATGGACCAGGTGCTCTGATGGCAAATACCGCGCCAGTGCCAGCTATAGGAACAAGACGTGGAAAATGTTAGGTTAGTGAGCATACCAACAATAATAATAGCGATTTTTTATTCCTCTCCATACTACAACACTGTGTTTGACTTGATAATCAGATGTAGGTAAACAATATCGTTGTTTGAGACAAAAACAATTGCTTGTCGTGATTATTGTTAGGTCTCTATCTCGAGAATAACGAATGAAGTACAGATCAAGCAAGTATTTGAATCTTGAAGGCTTCCCTGATCAAAACAAGAATAATTAACGACGATGTTTATAATTCCAATACTCAACTATAATAAGTTGTATTCATAGGTAGTCTAGCTACTCCAGCCTTGGTATGAAATGCCAAATCTGCCGGAATAGGAAAAAGATCAGGTATGCGTCTCAACCCAGATGACCAACTGTAACAATGTTGTCGATTGTTCTTGATGACGTCCAGTACATCCTTTTTAGTTCCTAGGAGCTAAAGTTCGACTCTAGCTCCTATAGGAACTAAAGTTCAACCTTAGCTCCTAGGAACATACCTTTTTTTGTGTCAGTATCAAGAACGTCAATTTAAGAGCTAATTTTGATATCAAAATGCACGACTTTTGTGTCGGTTGCATCAGAAAAAGACGATTTTTTTTATTATTATTAAACGACACCACCATTAACGTTTTTCTCACCTTAGCCGGATCAGTGGATAGCAGCTGCTGCAGCTGGCTCTTCCCCCCACCACCACCACCACCACTCCCACCCCCCGACGTTCCTGTTCCCGTAGACGTCGGAGGCGGCGCGTACTGGATGCAGCTAGACCCGTGGGGGGAAGCGGCGTCCCCCGAGGCCGCTCCCTGCGCCGGCGACATGGTCGTGGAGGAGGAGGAGGAGGCGGTGGAGGTGGAGGAGGCAGTGGAGGAGGTGGAGGAGGAGGAGGCCCCGCTGTGGTGGTTTTCGGTATGCCTCCTGAGAGATCGCGCATCGCAGTAGCTTTTGCCGCAGCCGTCGGCCTTGCACTCGTAGGGTTTCTTGTTGCGGTGGGTCAGCATGTGGCCGTTGCTGAAAGGAAGAGAGACATGTTGTTAAGGATATTTTTTGAATTTTTTATCGCTTGGAGCACACGAAAGGAAATCCCTATAATGTTCAAAGAACATCGTGCGTTCCTAGGGAGAATAGGGACAGGAGGTAGGTATTGGAATTTTTTTTGAACTTTTGGAGATTATATGTTGTTGGGAATACTTCCTCAGGCAATGAATTCCAGAGCCTAGCCGTTCTATGGATGAAGGAGTTTTGATAAAGTGCTGTTCGACATCTTCCGAGGTTGACAACGGAAGGATATGCTGACTGAGCTTGTCTAGTTCGTCTGACTGGTATTGCTAGTGGAAGGATGATAGCAGAGATTTCCGAATAACATTTCCCGTGGAAGTATCGATAGAAAAGTGAAAGGTCGCAGACCAATGATGTCAAAGAGGGAGGGAGGTGGCGTTCTCTGGATGGAATCTAAGAGCATCAGCCCATCAGCGTATGTTTTGATGCTGAACCCCATATGTGGGAGCAGTATTCTAGTACAGGCCGTATCTGCGCTTTGTAGATCATGAGAAGCTGTTGAGGTGTGAAGTAGCTTTTCGCACGGAACAAGAATCCGAGTTCTTGTGAAGCTGCTTTTGCGATGGATCTGACATAATTATCCCATGAGAGAGTGTTGCTGATGGAAATACCGAGCATAGATATGGTGGGCTTGGTGGGGATGGTGGTGCCAGACATTACAATATCGAGCATACTGAGTTCCGCCTTTCTAGGGAAAATACAGGCTTGAGTTCTGGTGGCGTTGAATTCAACTAGGTTATTGGTTTCCCAGGCTGTGATTGCAGCAAGGTCTTCATTGACAGCATCGACCTGCCTGCGCCGTGAGTTCTTAGTTTCCTGGGAAGGAATGGAAATTCTGGAAGAGAACGCAGTATGGAGGGTACTCTGCAAAGCTGTGGATGGGGCAAGTTGTTACTCCCAACAGATCATTGATATGAAGAAGGAATAATGTTGGTGCCAAAATTGATCCTTGTGGAACGCCGGAATTGATGCCAATGGTATCAGACGATAGACCGTCCACCACCATGTGAAGCGATCTGCCTGAAAGAAAACTCGATAAGAGTTGGCATAGCTGAGGTGGTAAGCCGTATGATGGTAGAGTTTGTGGACGAGTCCTTCGTGCCAAACACGGTCGAATGCTTTCGATACGTCCAACGCGACAGCTAGAGATTCCTTGTGTTTTTCTAATGTAGCTTGCCATAAATGGGTGACGTAGGAAAGTTGTGGACAATTTCATTATCATTGGAATTTTTAAATTCGATGTTTTGGCGAACACGCCGGGACACGACATCTTGATTGATTTATGAATATTTTATACAACAGTCGTGGATAAAGTAGAGTATTCTTTTCGCATATAATGAGCTATTATTCACTCAGGTCAATTATGCTACTAGCTACGCCCGTGACATGGACTTAATCATCGTGAATAATAGTCCTCATTATATGCTTGTCGAATAATATACTATTCTCACGGCACTTTTCCAACACCACATACATTTCCATGAAGAATCAACAATAATCAACCAGAACTTAGTTGGCTGCTGTTCAGCTTTGAATAGTTGTCACAACTGTCAGCAGGAGTTTTTTTAATTCTTAGGGTAGTTTTAATTAGCGCTTTTATGAAAATCGCAATTTTCATTAAATATTATTCCAACAATTCATTTTGAATTATATGAATATACTGAGAGTAGTGATAATTTTGATAATATACCGCCAGAGATGATGAAAAAAGCTGCAAAAGTTATATTTAATGCCGAAAATTCTAAGGAAAAAGTTTTAATTGACATAAGAAAAATTTATGGATTTTCATCTCAACCTCTAAGTTTCTATGGAAAAATCAAGGCGAAGAATTGATTGGTCTGATAATTTGATTTTTGAAGGATATTCAATCGTTTTCTCCGAATTGCTGCTGTCTCCAGGTATATAAGTCAATGTTCACATAGCCTTTCTTTTTCTCTCATCTCAACTTCTCGATGTTTAACAAAATGGAGGAGAATCTCTACAGATCTCGTTAGAAAGTTTCTTAAAAGGTTATATCAGACACCCATTCAGTTCATAATAGAGTTGAATCAAGCAAAAGTTATAGTTGGTGAATTGAAGCAATTAAGGCTAAATGATCTGTGTAGGTGATTTGGAATCCTTGCTGCTTCTTGCAATAATATGCATGAATTCAGAAAGACTGACTCGATTACTTCCATATGAATAGTGTGTTTAATAAAATACTAACCTGCAGCAGATTATGGGGACCTTCATGAATTATAATATAAGAATTATTGAATACGTATAATAGAAATATTTTTTTCTCCAGATCTCGGATTGAGTAAAGGAATAATATTGATGTGAGTAGTGAATGATCATAAGCAATGTTGTATTTTTATTTCTAATGCTTTAATACCGATTAAACAATTTTTAGAGAAATTTATTACATATTATCCTGTATACGACTGGCACGATAATGGTTTACAAGATCCTGCTTGAAATGTCGATGCAATTTCTGGCTCACTGCAATACCATCATTTCTGCCATAATGCGCAATAAAGCAGAACAATAAACCCTGATTTGCCATTAATATTGAAATCGGAGGCGAACGATAGAAATCATGCTGAGTCTACAGATGACTCTTTAAATATTTGACTTTTATTTCAGTCGGAGATATTGCAGTTTGACTTTCCGAATATAAATGGAAAATGAATTTTTGCTCGGGTTTATTTCCCCGGGCCAAAGGACTATTACTCAGAATGATGTACATCTCTGTACACAATAGAGTGCGGTGCTCCTCAGGGAACCATTTTAGGCCCGATACTTTTTTTATTATTTATTAACGAACAAGCAAATTATGCAATTTACAGAAAGAGAGTATATAAATACAGAACACGTACATATTATTATATCTATGAAGAAGACTAACACAAAAAAATGTGAAAGGCTGAAACGAATGAAAAGATAATGATTATGAAATAAGTGATTAACATTTTTCTATCGCTTTCCTGATAGAACATAAAGATGCATTGAACAGTTCAATTTGGTAATTGTGTATTTGCTGTTTTGGTTATTCTATTTATGGATTCATTTTGGCCATAATTTGTCCTACAGAATGGTATCTTAAAAATGTCACTATTTCTGTGTCTTCTAGTATTTGCGGAAAGGGTAGTCAGAGCAACAATTTCGGGAGAATCAACTTTGTAAAATGCTGACCAGATCGAAGAATTATATCCAAGAATAGACCTCACCTGTCCACAATACAGCATTAACAGATAGTTCTTCAGCAGAACGAAGGAAAAAGCCTAGCTTTTTACGAGCTTCAGAAAAGTCTGTGTGAATAGAGTCTACTTGCAGCTTATTCTCTAATGAATTGATGATATAATTTTGATAAAGCAACAGGTTTGTTGATGTTGTTTGCTAACATCCTCCCGTGAACCACTTTTATGAATATGTTGTAAAAAACTGTGTTTTCAGTTGTTAGGTAACTTCCCCTTATCAAGAGATGAAATGATCTGCAAGTGAATAAATTTTGCTGAAGTATAAATACATCTTTTATTCAAATACAAAGGGATCTCATCTGGGCCAGTACCACATCAATATCTCTATTTATTTGCACAGCTTATTTTTACATTGGGATTACGGGAAAATGTCATAGCTCCGCAGATGAAACAGTGATAAATAATGTCTTCAGGTCAATCGAGGGGGTGAAAAATTAATTTAATTTTGGGATTTTCTTTCCTCATTATGGAGATGAATGAATGAAAATATAAATATCATTTTAATATACCCGTAATATACCTGTAGGAAGGACGAATCAGATGTTTTGCACCAAAATGTCACTGCGTCTCAAATTTCCCTATTGGAAACCTCAGAGAAACTTCAATCGATAGTCAGTGACACCTGGTGTCAAAACTTTTTGAAGCAGGATGGAGGTGTATTGAAAAAATACTGAAATTCACTTATCTTCAGAAATTTCGGAAACGAATCTGGATAAATACAGTATGAAGAAGAAACATACTCAGTTTTAATCTCCTCCTGAAGATGCTAACATAGTTAGCGAAACACGTGTCGGGGCGTTAAAAAATCGGTTTGGTTAGTGGTAAAACAGTGTAGTGTATTATCGTGCCAAAGGTTCCAGTCTTCGATATAAGAAACATATTGACAAATCAAACTTTGCTGAACATCTCCTGGACAACATAATATGGCGGAGCAAAAATCTATAAAAAGAATCGGAATAATATTTTATCAATCTTCCGAATTCGGATGAAAATATCAAAATGAAATATCGATACAATCGATGTGACTGATCATTCTATGAATTCTAAATTGAATCTGAACAGTCCTATTATATCAGGACCCTCACCAACAAGATTCATTAGAATCATGCTCATTTACTTGTTCTGATGTCACTAGATGATGAAATTAACAGAAAAAAAACATGCAACTTTTGCATCTGAATTTTTTTCCAAACGAAAATTGTGAAATATGAAATAATTCAAAATACGTATTTTATTTATCAATTTTCTGATGCCTGTTTATTTGTTTTGATGTCACCAGATGATAGATTCAGCTTTCGAATCATTTTCAAAGAAAATGTTCTAATATATGTATAGCAGGAATCGAATCAAAACATTTGAATAAATTTATAATCTGAATAAAATTATAGCTCAAGAAAAGTAGAGACAAGGTGTGAACAATTTTTTTAGGCAAAATCATTTAAACAAACTGAATTATATAAAATCCCTCGTCCTATACGGACTCGCGGGATTTCATCAATCGATATGTTCAATATTTCT